GTCGTGACAGCGTAAAACTTGTGAAGGGCAAGCAGTAGACGCAAAATACAATGAAGCCGATAGTCAGTACCTTATCAGTTTGCCTCAGAGCCATGAAGAGATTCTTAGCCGAGATATTCACACCTCTTGTGCTGTCCAAATGACCAGCTATGGCATCAGCCACCTGAAGGATAAAACTTCTACAAATAGTCTTCAAAAACTAATCGATGAAAAGGCACCTGTTGGACCATCTTTCTACTCGTAGCACTCATGCCAGCAGCCAGAATATTCACATCTACCTTCCCGGTAACAGGATCAACAGCGGATTGCTTCAATGCTTCGCGATATAGGCTGAAATGCAGGAATTATAGAAGGTAAAACAACTCAGAAATGATGAGCTCTTACTTGTAAGCAGATTCAACGTCCTCCACTGTCACTGCCTCTGATAGACGAATCTTAGCATGAGCTTCAGCGAGTCGAATCAAAGATTCCAGTTGACGAGGGTATGCCGAAATTTGCCCATGTTGAGCTCCAGCCTGAAGTACATGAGTTATGAGTTCTGAAGTATCCACTAATTTTCTAGGAAACCTACTTTTCTCATGAACAGGTATTTATCGATGATAAATTGAGCACAGTCGTCGTTCAATTTCGGATGAACATTCGCCTTTGCATACGCTAAACAAAAATAATTGGTTGATAAGTTGCACAAAAATTTCATTTACTTACCGATATAATCTCTGAGCAAAGCCATATCAAGCTGTTCTGCTTGCGCTTCAGCTTTATCCCTGTAATAAAGCGATACCAAATGGTTGGCAAGGCGTCGATCGTAGGCTTCGTCCTGAGGATCGACCAGCAGGAAAATGAGATCGAATCTAAACCACAGTATTAGAAATGCTTAAAAACGGTACACATGGTTAGAATTGGTAAGTGACTTTCGTTAGACTACAAAATTCAAATATATTGGATATATAAACCACTCTCACCTGGATAAAAGAGTGTGAGGAAGCTGAATGTTGTCCACTATCGTTTTATCTCGATTCCATTTAGAATCAACCGGATTTGCCGCAGCGAGGATTGAAGCCCTGGCGTTGAGCTGACATATGATCCCAGCCTTAGCAATGGATAGAGTTTGTTGCTCCATGACCTGAACAAAACAATGACTACCAGGCTTCCTAGGAGAATTTTGTACACAATTCTGAATTACCTCGTGGAGAACGCTTCCTTGTCGACTCATTCATCTTATCGAACTCGTCAATGCAACAAACACCATTGTCAGCAAGAACCAGAGCACCAGTTTGAAGCACCAGTTGGCGAGTGTCAGCGTCTCGCGAAACTGAAGCGGTCAGACCTACCGCAGAGGAGCCCTTAATTTCGTTTTATGATAGGGCATGCAAGATATTTATCACCAATTAATGCGAGAGATATTTATCAGCCGATACCTTGCCACTGGTGTACTGACTTCTCGGCAGGATACGGTACACGTATTGCAAAAGCTGGGACTTGGGACGTACCAGGATCTCCGCAAAGGAGGACATTGATCTGGAAAAACAAGGGGATATAACGATAAATCTCGCGTCACTTCAAGAGCATAGCTGCTAGAAGCTTGTAGTGAAGTGAAAACGAAGGGAAACATTCGAATGGACAATTAAAACTCAAACAGACCGCAAAACGGAAACCCCATGTTGCGAAGAAATATGAAATCAAACAGTGCTCTGGGCACCTACCTCACTCCTCAGCTTTGTCTTATGAGTGTTTTCATCATCTTTTGGAGTACCACCAAAAAGTAAACACAGGATACCCTTCTTTACATCGTTATGCTCGTAGATCGAAGGAGCTAAAAGACTCATGAGTATTTCACACCTGAGAAACTGAATAATGGCCTCTTTGGAATAAATTTCTTCAACTGTACGAGTATCTCAGATGTGAGCAATAAGTTCTTCGAAATTTAGTCTTACCAATCGCGTGACTGAGGGCGTCAATGATGTCAGCACGCTTCGACAAATTGCGAATCTGTTCGATACGTTCATCAGTTAGTGATTCTCTGCAAAGAAGACACATATGAAGTTTAACCCTTTCCGGACCGCCTGACACACATGGTGTGTCAGGAACTTCAAGAGCTGATTTTTCCAAGAGTTTGGTTTTTCGATAAAATATTTTATGTTGTTACATACCTATGTAACAGACTCATGCCATATGTATGAAAAAACCTAGACTTTAGGTTTAATCTAGGTTCTAAAATAACCAAAGAGTAAATGGACTTCCACTTTGGGCTCAAAGAAAACAGTTGTAGTTCGCTTGAAAACACTTAAAAACGAAGAATTTGTGAAATATCCTGCTCGTCGTATCTGATTCTTATGGATCCAATCGTTTTGGGCACGTTCTACTCCCTTTTTCTCCATACCAACTTATTTTGAACAATTTTCGTCCCTTCCTCCCTTTTTATGGCCCTTTCCCTTTTTTTGCAAAACAGTTTTCTGTCAAATTAATCTTATATATTCTTCGAGACATGACAAAGACATAAACGAGACAAAATAATGGCTTTAGTGGGAATACAGATTAAATATATGATATTTATGCTTGCCGCGCAGCATGCGGCCGTGAGCGCAAAAAGTGCGCGGTCCGGAAAGGGTTAAAACTTAGAGAAATAACTTCGTATAGCATACATTATCCTGGTGAAGACGAGAGGAATCAGTTTTCCTGAAGTGGAGCGCATCGATGTTAGTACGATAAACGGCCATCAAATTTCTTTGGCGAGGATTAACCTAATATTCCAACTTTATGTCAATAAAAAACAGCTACCATTCTTATCACAGTTCGACTAAACAGAATGCAATAGGTAAAATTGAACTACTGAAACATTCTACTCAAATGAGCCAGAAATACCTTGACAGCTTGAACTCGGAAGATTCCAGTGAGCGTCACGCGATCTCCTGGCTGTACTGATTCCACCAAGTGACCGTGAGCGTACACGGTGACAGTGTGAGGAGTTTGACCAGCTGGCATGTCATCTGCGTGAAACATAAGTCAGGAAAGCGAATATTACTCGAGAAGTGCAACTAAATTTTACTATCACACTTCGAAAAACAAGAAGTGGCTATATAAGTACACAATATTATAAACTAGTGTTTTCGAAAACGATTGTATAAAAGTAAAGGCACGGGTTGCAATCCAATTAGTGTTCAATTCGCTCAAAAATGGAACAAGATGTGTTATGAAGACCGTTAGTAAGAAGAAGAGCAATACATAGGAACCATGAACAACTCATGAATTGAGGTCCTTGCCTCTTGCAGACGAGAGCGTACTACGGAGGCATCCAAGCGCTAGCAAGAAGAGGGAAAACGCAGAGAAAACTCGTGCGAGAGGGCACAAATGCACGGGGAGTAGTCGCCGAGAATAAAGAATGGCGAGCAGTTCGCACGGTTTAAGAAAGACACCTGGAAGGGTGATATAATTCCGAGTCGAAGTGAACCGTCCTGCGGCCTAAGAGAACCTTTTACTAACTCACACCAAAGACTAGGATTTTGAGCAAATTTGACTGTGCAAAACCTGTGCTTTCAATCTTACTCTATTCCAAATCAAAACCCACCAGGAGACTCTTGCAGCTTGATGACCTGTTTATCTAAAAACAGTGACCGGTTGTGTATAAGCTGGAAGCACATAGTATTTGAGCAATTGGTGCACGCTGTGGGTTCCTCAATCCTGTAAAGGAGAACATTGGGGAATCGTGGAATATATCACTTTCTTCTATTGTGAAAAATCCCCTCAGCTTATTTCGCCATCAATACATAAGAGACTTTGAAGGAACAGCAACATACCTTCCACGATCCACTTCACTCTCCACGGAAAATTTACAAACAGAACACTGGAAGAAGCCCATCCTCATTTCCGGTATCAGTGACGATCGTACGGGTTACCATACCAGTAATTGTGATTAACTGGTCAATGTCTGAAAAGGTAACATCGAAATCACATTAGAAGAACAACTATAAACTCCAACTCCAAGCTATTAGAGCAAGCCCTCACCACAGGGATTCAGACTACGCATATTCCTTGTCTTATCTGCGTTGAAAGGACGTAGCTCGATAGGTGTCGCCAGAGCACGATTGTATTTCTCTTGGTAGATTTCGTTAACGGTCATGTCCAAATAAGGGATCACATCCTGCAAGAATGATTAATCACTTCCAAACCATTTTTTCGAACAAGAAGAAAAAACAATCAAATACCGCTGGATAAGCCACGATCTTTCTGTAAAGCGTTCTGAGAACGCTTTGACGTGGGCGAGGTTCATATTGAGGTATGGGCAATCGGTTTGGTCGATTTCGAATAAACGCTCCATGTAGTATGGAATGGTGGTGTCAACAGCTTGACGCTAAAGTTTCAAATTAAAATTTTGTGTGGCAATACTTGAAGGATGGGCAGATTTCCATACCGTAGATGGCAGCATTAGCATGTTCTCGTCTTCATCCAATGCAGAAACTTTGAATTCAGTTATGAAACCTCGGAATGCCCTGTAATAAAGCATGAAAAACACTCATAACAACTCCAAGCGACAAAATGTTCGTAGCCGTTGCACCGTCCACGCACAACACATTACTTGTTCCCCAAATGTACATGCGTGGTTGGGAATTGTCATCAGCAAGATCATCGTCAAGCCCCTCCATTCGAATAGTTCTAAAATATATCTAAGCTTGAGCAACAATCAAGAATTGCAAGAATAAATCTCAGCAAATCGAATACAACCTGTGATGACTTGGAGCAGTCCCGAGATCAGCGCGGGCATGCCCACGGCGAGAGGACATTGCAGTGGAGCCCTGGGAAGACATACCCAATTCGGACCCATAACGAAGCGATGAAGTAGCTGAAGAACTGTTTCAATCCCTAGTCAATTTTACGGAGAAAAAATTATTTTCGCACTTTGCTGTCCATCACAGTGAAGACAGGACAACAAAAACCTCGAAAATCAAAAATAATCACGTAAGCTTCCTAAACAATCCTATGCAGTTGCGCATTACCAAGTGGAAGAAAAAAAGATAAATTACAAGGGGAGCACATGGGCCGAGACAAGATTTCAGACTTCGTCATGCGTAGCAAAGTGCACTCCACTACTGACGTGAACTAATGGTGCCACCTTGTCCACTGCACACATTACGCCTCAACTGCCAGTATTTGACATCATCCTGCCGCAGTTTTGACGCCTATTCAGAACAGACTAAATAACGGATGTGCGGTCGAGTACACACTCTTTCTTACGCGGGAGACCCCCAATGCTAGGTACATACGCGGAGATGTATTCGGCAAAGAATGATATGACATGCACTTCATGTGCTTTGACGACACTACCTACAAACCATAGCTCGGGTCTGATTAGGCGTGTCTATGGATTTGACGTGGCGGCCGCCGCACTTGACAGAAGCTATCAGATAAGCCGCTTCCAGCATGCTTTGGCCGACATCAGACTTTGCGATTCAGCGATTCGCTAGCGAATCGCGGGATACGAGCGTTGCACCAGCGAATCGAGCTGTGTACCAGCGGATCGAACTATGTGCCAGCGGATCGAACGATGTACCAGCGACTCAACACTGTTTGAAAGTGGCGGACTCCCTCTCGTTTGCATGTTGACTCTCGCCACTTTCCCGAGCTCTCATACCCTCTCACTCTCATGCCCTCGTGAGCCCGGGAAAGTGGCGAGAGCCAACATTCAGAGGGTTGACGGGCTACTGAACTCTCCCCCTTAAACCGCCTCAACGCTTTCTGGCGGGTTCCTCTCTTGGGTTTACGGACTACTTGATTTTTCCTCAATGGTCCTGCCGCGATGGCTAGAGCACAGACGATTAGAGAACGGGTGAATGCCCTAGGACTAAGCCTTGGAGAGGAGAGGGACCCGCGAGAGAGCGCAGAGGCGGTTTAAAGGGCTGAGTTCAAGTAGTCCGTCAACCCCTCATCAAGGCTTAGTCCGGCTAGGGTAATTCACCAGTTCTCTAAATCGTCTGCGGCTAAATCGTCCAAACGTTGGAACCGTCCGCTCCGCTGCTCAATCAGCAAATCGTGGTAGGAAAAATCATCTGTGTCGTCTAGCGATCAGTATGCTCTATCTTGCTCCTGATATGGGTGCTACGCGTTGTCTATTCCTGCGGATGCGGACCACTTGGTGGGGGGATGTGTAGTTTATGTGCGTGTCACTATGAGATGTACAGACAACTTGGCTCTGCGACTACACATACGCCACCTCTGCAAAGGATGAAATGGTGTTTCAATTACATTAGAAATTTCAGATTCGCAAGATCGTGCCTTCTAGCAAGTACTTGCCATAAATGAACTTTGATGGTATTCGGACGTCCAACCTCCAGGACTACCAGGGGACTAAGCTTCTAGCCGTTTCTGTTTTTAATGGCAAAGTACTGATAAATGATATGATGAGGTGATAAGGCAAGAATGCTTACGTGAAACTAATTCATTGCACCTTTAGAACTAAGAACTCGCAGTAAAGTAGACTGCAAAAAATCTCACCGCTACGTGCAGAAGCTACCGGAGACGTCGCCTCACTGCCAACGGGAGCCTCACTGGGGAGGAAGCGAACGGAGATCAGGTGTACTGCTACCAGTGCTTGGAATTTCAGCTGCAACGGAAACGATCAGAAGAAGGATTAAGAATAACAAAAAAATTAAAAATAACAAACATCGAGCAGACGGTGCATTGCTTTGCCTTGATCCCTGACGCCTTGACGGAGTTCGACGACCGGTGCTCGACATCTCTCAAACTGCTGCTGCTTGATTGCTACAAATTATTCAAGCTATTATAAGAGCACTGTGTACAGAATAAACGAAAAGCCGTGGAAATCACATCAGAAATAACCAAAAACTTCAGAAACACTAGCCTGTCTCGAACCAATGAAGCGCAAAGTGAACCGGGGAGCGATGTAGGAAGGTAATTAGGGTGCTATACAAGTAGGGTGGGCACGCCGCATTTTTTGAACAGAAATGTATGTAAGTGGGGCTGCTGCCCGCTACCTCACTGTCTCGGGGAATTCGTGAGCCAGGGGCGTGTAGCTAATCTAGGAGGTAAGGGGCAGGGTCAATCCTATGTTGCGACAAGTACCAACGGGGGGTCGTATTTTGTTGAGGTTGTAGGTGGGGGGGGTCGTATTCGATGTAATCTCAGAATTAATGGGTGAGTTTAGGGTGTGTAGCGTGGAGTAGCGAGAAAAATTTTGCTGGTTCAGTGTACGTATATCCCCCCTTCCCGTTCGACGGCTGTTTTGCATGATGGCGAGGGTGGTGAAGGGGGAGGGGGCGTGAAAATTTTCGGAAAAGTCGCAACGGTAGGACCGACCCTGGTGGGGGTAAGGGCAGTAACTTGACATTCGTGAAAAGCTGGGCGTGCCCACCCCACTTGTATAGAGCCGTCATTAGGACCCATTCTAATGGGAGAGACAAATTTCGAAGAGAATAAGAATTGCTTACGCACCTCGGATTCTCTCTTCTCTTTTGAGGCTTGGTCCTAAAACTCAGTGTTTCCCCCAATCTGGCACAATGGTACGGGCTGCCCCCCCCCCCACATTAGGCCTAATAGAATATCAGAACAGAAGCTGGAAACCAAACTTTTCAACTGTAAACGTAAAGGAAAGAAATGGAGCTCACAAGGTTACACCTCGAAAGCGAATCACCCACCTTTCCCGCAAATTTTTAAAGTTCCCGCTCACCTCGGCGCATGTATTCTCGATGGGTCGCCGAACGAGCTAGTGGTATGACACAGTCGCTTGGCGCATTTATGCCCACGTTTTGGGAAAATTACCGAATTGGAAACCTCCTGACAAGGATGGGAAACTCAATCCGGACAATGGGAGAATCCACCCACAAGAAATGTGGTCCATTGGTTCCTTTGTTCAGTTCCTCGCCGGATCGCCGTACTTCGTGCACCCTGTGTGTCCCTGTTTTTTTTTCCGTAGTCACTAATTTACAACCTACCAACAACTCGATGGGTAATAAAATATGCTATTCTTCAAGGCGCTAGTGTACTGGGGCCGTCCTTAACTATCCTTCCCCAGGCTAGGGGAAGAAACAATATCTTTTTAATTTCCCTCTTGTTTTCCCAAACGAAAAATTGCTCTAAGAAGTGACCTACTTGTAATGTTTGTCTGTCTGTAAAAACAACTATGCGCTGGAATTTAAGCTGGAAACACCATCGATGAGAGTAAAAAAACCCAAAAAGGGTCATTTTCTATGACGCCCCTAGCTCGTGGGAAAACGATAAGGATAATCGCGCTCCCTCCAGGTGGGGGGAGCGATGTGCGGGAACACGGGGAGAGCTGTTTGCAGAAGATCCGGAAACACGTTTCATATCAAAGTGCTTAGTCCCTCTCTTGCAGAAGCGTGGTTCATACATCTACAGCTTTTTTCCTTTGAAAAGAAGGGAAAGAAGTTCCTGTTGCTATGAACAATTGCGCCCCCCCCATCCTTAACAATGTCAGCGCGCCACTTGAAAGTTCATCTTACCAAGAGAAATGTCCTTCCTTTCGGTTTTTTGTGAGGCCAGCCCTCTCTCCCCGCTCGCGGCATTCTTCGGATGAGAAGTGTGCGGGGGTAAAGTTGACTGTGTCGATTGTTCAGAACGAGTACTATAACTAGAGCCATGGTGTTGAGGGGGGGGAGGGGGAACATTGTAATAAAACTGTATGGTGAATCTCAAACCTTAACACTTATATGTTCATGAATTTGACGCTGAGGCTGCATTTCTTGTTGAATAGTGGACTCCACCCTGTAATTTCACAACGGACCCTTTCAGATTCCTCTTGATTTTTCCTGGATTTGAGATTCCTTTGGTTCATAGACGTAGTTGAAGAAGGCATCCGTTCTCGGTACTCTACGTTTGTCTCCGACAGTGATGATCCTGGCTGGACTCAATTCGCCCATCTTCCTCCAGCCGGACCGGCAACCTCCGCCACCCCTGTTCGACCTGTCGAAGGAATTCCTAAACGTACGCTTGACCACTGGCCCAATCGAGCACGTGGTCCTTGACGGGTACATTGTACCTACACTGCATTACCCTGACACTTTACAGCCTCACCTTACCGCCATGGTTCCCTTAATCCAAAAACAGTAGCTGGAACCTGTTGGCTACAGACTTTTTGAGAACTACGTCAGCAAGTGAAAGTCACAAATTCACCTAAATGTGATATTACTTTATATGAAGAGTAATATTGGGAACATTTTATCATACCGTAATAACAGCGAAAACTTTAGAATAATAATCTATGATTTCAATCGAATTTTTCGACGATGCAGTTGCCGAAAAAACGCATAGAAGGAAAGGTCAAAAATCACGGTTTAAGATGAAAACAACAAATAACAGCAACGGCTAAACGAGGCAACAATGCCGGGATTAAACCGGCAAGAAACCCATGAATAATTCAAACAAATCTAAGCAAGAAATAACTTCGGTACAAAATTGAGAATGCGAGCAAGCACAACACCAAGCTACACACAGAAACATACAGCGTCACAGAAAGCGCCAGGATGCAGAATACTCACTTAATTAATAAGTTAGTCCAAACGGAATAGCTCTTTTGCATCGCAAATGGGCTATTTTCTATATAAAATTTGTTCTAGTTTTTGTCGATAAAAAGGGAGCTCTTAAATATTTCGTAGTTCTCGCAATAAGAAAAGGAAGCAGCATAAAAACCTCTACAGCTACCAGTATTTCTGCACGAGAGTATGCTGGCTACCAACAGTGGTACTTAATTTGCAAGGATGGAAGCAAAAAATGCGACCCTCACCCCGATCTCCTATGGCAGAAAAGACATGCAATATAAGAAACCACCAACATGAAATCTCGGGACGGGATATCTTGGCTTGTTTAAAGCTCGTTTTGAAACGAACTAACCACAACATGAGTGCTCATACTTTGCGTTACATAGAATGATCATTGAAACAGCGCTAACAGTGTTCAGCTTTTACTGGCTCAATTGTGACTCCACGTCGAATAGTACCCCATCCAATCAGTCTCCAGTGCTTCTCAATACGACGTGATAGCGCGATTTTTTCACCGATCTGAAAAATGAAACCAATCAGGTAGTAAACTCAAAAATAAGCTTGTTGATGAAAACGAGAACTTTAAAAAAAAGCTGCGTCCGAAATGGACAAAATATAACAAAATATAAGTTCACTATATGCTGATTGGTGCGTGTTCAATCACTGATCGGTGTAAAACCTCCAGGAAGAAATAACCATCGGCACTTCTTTATTGAGGGTTTTCCGATCATATGACACCTGGGATCACATCCTGCTCAAGATTGTTTGGTGATTTTCCCGGGAAAGCCATTGCGACGAAATTTATTCATTCTTTTCGAATTTCTAGCCACAGCAAGAACGCTTTTTGAAAGCGAAAAGATATCTTGAAGGAGGAAAAGGGATAGTGATCCTTGGTTCAAATACGAGATGTGATTGATCCAATAGGACCTGAATCAGAGTGAGAGCCTATGCATAGAAACCTTCCTTGAGAAAGAAAGAACAACGTGAGGCCGATGTCATAGTTTGCGAATCGAGCGATTCGCTAGCGAATCGCTGGATCCGAGCGTTGCGCCAGCGAATCGAACGTTGCACCAGCGAATCGAACTTTGCGCCAGCGAGTCGAACGATGTACCAGCGAGTCGAACTAGGTACCAGCGAGTCGAACTAGGTACCAACGACCCAATAGTGGCGGGACCCAACGTTCAAAGGAAGCCCCCGCCACTTTCAAACAGCGTCCACTGTCACGTGACACTGTTTGAAAGTGGCGGGCTTCCTTTGAAGTTGGCCCGCCACTATTGAGTCGCTGGTACATAGTTCGACTCGCTGGTGCAAAGTTCGATTCGCTGGCGCAACGCTCGGATCCAGCGATTCGCTAGCGAATCGCTCGATTCGCAAACTATGACATCGGCCTGGAGTGTATTTTCTCAAACACACTACAATGCGCTGAAAGTACGCAGAAATTAATTATTAATGACACATATTTTTGCAGCAGAATCTTGTGAGTACACACTGCATAACATTAAATTTCCAAATGAAAAAGAGAAAACTGAAGAAGAAAACAGCATCTACACACCTCAGTGCATATAGGATCGGTGAGAGCAATCTTTGCCGCTTCACCCTTCACAGCCATCACACGACACCCGGTGGACAGCGATCCGATGTTGACCATAAGTACCTCGCCTTTGGCTAGTTTTTGGACCTAAAAAGAGGCAGTATGCCGCGACGAGGCAGAAGAGTTGCAAAAAACAAAACGAAAAGCGAAAGCAAACCTTAGCCGCCTTTTTGTTTGCTTCGGTACGTACTCCAAGCAGCCGTCGTAACAAGAAGAAGTTGATTTCGATCTCTGTGAAAATATCAGGAAGGGTTCCTACGGCGCCCAGGATATGTCCCACCAAGCGGTCACCTCGGCATAGTGTTGGATCAATCTTTGTACCAACACCAATCAAACCTTAAAATCATAACTCTCTGATGAATACAATTGACAAAATAAAAAAAAGCGAACCTCCGGGAACAGCATATTCTAAATGGTTCTGTTCAGCGAATAAGGAAACAATTCTGGAGGTAATCGGCTGACACTGTACCTTACCATCGCCGGACTTCGTTACAATACCAGGGCGCACTTCAATTTCTTGGCCGACACGAAGAATTCCTATAAAATTAAGGCTCAATTTATTGCCCTGCTGAACGTACAGCAGCACCAGCTAACATATCATACAGAAAAAGGAGGTGCTAGACGGGTTCTGCATGACAAGAAGTAAGAAATTATGGTTGCAAAGGAAAAGTGGGTCGAAAGCGACCCCAAGCACTTTTAGAAGTACAGATTTTGCGTTGATGAAATATTTAGAATGCACCTCATTGGGGCAAGCATCCATTTCTAGGATTTAAATTTGACAACTTACGATTGTTTTGAGCGGAAATATGTCGCTTTGAAGAGGCAAATCAAATAGAAAAGGAGCATTAATGGAACAATTATCCGCTTTCTCCAGAGACCTTTCCCAATTTGCAACCCTGCTCCTCCCCAATCCCCCACCCATATTTATTCGATGAAAAATTAAGTGGGTGACGCATACCGATGTTGATTCATGATGGAGTAGGCGCGTATAAATACTTTAACAAAGTGGAGGGCTGCGATACTGAAGATGAAAAAGGTAGGAAGAGGGGAGCAATTTTTTCAGTAAGAGTTTGTGACAAACTGCACAAATGAATAAATGAGGTTGTTTGTAGCAAATGTGTTTGTTTAGAGCGGCAACTTACTACGCAATATCATTTTTTGGCATTTTTTTCCGGATATGCGGCAACAGCTTCCTCTACTTCTACAACATCCTATACACTTCCAACTACATATAATTGGAGGATTGCGTTGCCAACATATGAGCTCTACTCTAAGCTCAGTTTCTGAGAGACTGTGCTTCCATATCGATTTTCTCTCCTCGTTTGTGCCAACCTTCTAAATCCATTTACTGTTGTAGCATTGTTATTGTAAGGCGACAATCTCAAATTTGTTTTCCAAAACGGTGTGATATCAAACAAATGACCAACAAGTTTTCGAAACAAGAACATAGCACAAACCTCTTAAGATTGAACCTCCAGCCACACCTCCCTTAAGATTTTCGACTTCTGATCCTGGCTTGTTGACATCGAACGAACGGATGACAATGAGGCGAGCAGGAGAGGTAAAGTCGCGAGGTGGAACTGGCACTTTCTTACAAAGATATTCGCACACAAGCTGAAAATTTCTCTGTTAAATAGTAGCTTTAGGAGTTATTGCGAGGAAGTGAATACTCACATCGACATTGTACTTGAGCTGAGCGGAAATTGGAATCACTGGAGCTTTATCAGCAACTGTACCTTGCACGAAAGACTTGATCTGATCATACTGTTCCCGAGCCTGAGACTCCTTGATGATATCCACCTGAAATCCACTGACATGCTTTACAGACTTTTGAAATCTACTACAAAATTGAAACCAATAGAACAACGCACTTTGTTCTGAAGAATGAGAAGATGCTGCAGTTGCATAATCTCTACAGCAGCCAAGTGCTCGGAAGTCTGTGGTTGTGGGCATGGTTCGTTACCTGGAAGCAATGAGCTTCAGCCGCTATGATGTTATAAAAATGTTTTAGTGGCTAAACCTGCGACTAAAAGAAATGCAGCATCCATTACTGCGGCTCCATTAAGCATAGTTGCCATAAGAATGTCGTGACCAGGACAGTCGACAAAGGATACGTGGCGAACACAAGTGAACTGCCCTCCGCAACCTGGCCGATCACATGGAAAACGGTCTGGTGTTGATGAGCCAGCAGATCTGTAAACCAGAATCGCTAGAGGACAACATCTAGACTTCGACACAATATAGCTCGTCCAAGTTTTTGAATTAATTCTTGCTTGAGTTCACGCTTTTTGCAATTATAGACTGTAATACTGCGCCAAAATTATAAACATAACAATATTGATACAAGCGTGATGGCAAAAGTGGAGATCGATGAGTGGTTCATTTTTATGAACAGAAAGATAAGATACTGCCTAAGGTAACAGGACATGGGACATAGAGAGGAGTTAACCATATGCAGTTCACAAAAATGTTGGATTATGATCGAAACTTTAGTCTCAGGCGAGACTCAAACCCGCACCCCTCGCTTAAGGCGCTCTCATAGTGGGCCGTCCGAGCGTAACGATCACGTACCGATTGTTGCACGTGACTGACGACCTATACGGGGGAACGGTCAACAGAATCGTCAGCTCATGTCACATGTCTTATCAACAATTATTTCATGGATGAATTTGGTAGCGAATGAGTTTACGAAAAAAGAAATAATGACGCGACAGAAAGTTATCAAAGAAATGAGAAACCGTGTTCGCAATACTACACGAAATTTTTTCAAAAACCTATGAAAGGATATAAGAAGGGAAATCGCCCTGTCTAATTATATAGATCAAACACCTGCCATTCAAGAAGAATGAATCATGTTGACTGAGATATCGTGAAGGAAAAATGGTCATTTCATCAGTTTAACTGACCTTTCACATTCACATTCTCTACTTAATCACTTAATGAGATGCACTGCAGATGAGTTGGGAAAACTATGAACCTGTTACGTATAGGTGCACCTAGCGACACTCTCATCTCTTCACTGCTTTTATCTGCGATAGTGCAACTTTGAATGGCATTAAAGAAAGGTGGTGGTGAACAACATCTATGCCTTCATAAGAAAGTGAATTAGGCATAATCTTTGCTAAGTCGAGTCAGGATTTGGTTCCCATCCTTTGAGCCTTGAGAACGAGATAGTAGAAGCTTTGTTTTCAATAGCAAAGGAAAAAGTTTCGGTGTTGATCAGTCCGCTTTTGGGATGCGCCAAGGATTCCACCTCCCTTCAGAACCATGGCAACACCTTGAATGTAAATTGGCGTACATAATGACTTGTAACGCCAACCCCATGCACAGCTGAAAGTTTCTACCCATGCAAGGTCTTGGTTGGCCGAGTAGCGCACGATCCAGGATTTGAATGCAGAACCGTGGTAAATGGTAAGCAGCCCACTTGCCACTACACCACTTCGCCATATGGCTTCTGATGAGAACCCAAATCTATGATATTGACTGTCAACTACATCACAAAAGTGTGGTATGACTCATGTATGAGCTTATGAAACTGGTTAATCTCTTTACGTGACCTTGTAAATCAAATAATCAATAGTTTTGTGAAACATTAGCAGGAGCAAAAATGTTCTGCAAGGATTTACCTGTAGCAACCAGGACGCGGACAGTCTATATTAGAGCATCGGTAAATTTTTGCGTTAGCATATCCCAGCTTTATAGTAATGTTCCTTTCCAATTCATTCTTGAATTTGACAGTGTGCACACCAGAAATAGCCTTCACTAGTGTTGACTTTCCATGAGCTACGTGACCGATTGTTCCAATATTAATGGTAGCTTGGCGAGAAATTACCTGCAATGAATTAAATTTACCATCCATTTTCAATCGATGAAAATATCTTCGAAGAAAGAAAAACGCATCAAACTTTATAAAAGTGGTTGTGACAACAATTTGCTGACCTCTTCAGTAAACGAGGGTTAAGGTTTTGCGCTCCCAATTTTTGTCAAGGTCCCTGCTTCGCATCTCTACTCACTGTCGAGCTGTTACTATGTTTTAGTAGACATCTATTAGAAAACGATGAGCTTGAAATTATGCAATATATTACCTATGGGTTCCATGAAAAATTGGTTCTCCGGTCCCGCCGTAGTTTCGCGAACGATCGCAACTATCAATTGTTATGAACAGTAAATTTGAATAAGGTACGTAATAATTTAAAAGAAGAAATAGCACAATATGCGCTTTCCGAAACAAGAAAACAAGAAACAACCACAAATAAAGTAAGAAGGTCCAACCGTAACGAAGGACAACTCGATGGGAAAATTTTAAAGGACGCAAGCTGGCAGTGATGCAAGCGACTGCAGATAACTAGCACGTTTCCTCTGCGACTCTCTGCAGTGCGAGACAACAGACAAGCAGGTCTACGCAGAGTACAGTGAGCCCTGTCAGAGATGTCCGCTGCGCAAGGTGGGAATGTGAATATGTATGCGACTGAACGAAGACACAGCACAGGCGAATCGTGGAAGTGGGGAGGTCGAACGAAAAATGAGTACATACGCATCGACTTACGAACGCTTCGCTCACGCGATTTTCCGCCTGTGCGTTTCTCACAGTCGATACATATCAAACTCTTGACTGAAATTCGCCTGCTCCGGACGTTTCGCTTACGCGTTTCACAATTTCTCAGTCGATGCGTATCTAAATCTTGGCGGAGATTTTCGCCTGTGCGTTTTTTCGCGCCGGCGGACATCTCTGAACAGGGCCTTACACGCGAACCTAAAACACGAGACTGAAGTATTAGTTGTCGCCCATTCGCGCACATGGTACGGTATTGCGAATGGAGCATCAAATGTCACTTTTACATGGCATGCACTGGTATGAACGCAGTCCTCGTGCTGTACTGTTCTAGCTTAAGAGACCTGACAACAACCTAGCTCATTACTACCTCACTGATTGAATAGAATCTGTTTTTGTTTCCAGGTTTCCTTTTCGTTGTTGTTATTCAGTTGTTTACGCGCCCTTACTGACAATAAATATGCAATTCGGACCTATTCCTGGTTGGCTGACTGGCGCCGTCTTCGATCGCTCCATCTCTCGTCCGCGCTCTCGTCACCTTATCAGCGAGCTCGTGAACAGTTGGTTGATCGAACTTAGAATACCGATTCTTATTGCCAAGTTTAGGTGCTCACACCACCTCAGGGCCGATGTCAGACTTTGCGAATCGCGCGACTAGCGTTCCGTGGTCGCGTTGCGGTACCAGCCAATTGAGTGATTCACTGGCCGCGACGCGACCGCAGACGCTAGCGAATCGCGCGATTCGCAAAGTCTGACATCGGCCTCAAAGTCCCTCCCTCCTACGAGGCTTAATCCTAAGGGTCTCATACCTCCATTCCTCGATTTGGAGCCGAGCCAGGCCCGTTCGGTGCTAACTTAGTTGGGGGGGGGGGCCACGCGGCGGCGCGGCAGTCTGCTCGCCTGGCATGTTCGGAAATCCGTGGGCCAGGGGGAGTGTAGGCAGTCTAGGGGGGTGGGGGTGGGGGCAGTCACTTGACATGCGTGAAAAGCTGGAATGTTCGAGTTTACACTGTCTCGCTCGAGAGAGCCCAGGTGAGCAGACTGCCGCGCCGCCGCGTGCCCCCCCCAACTAAGTTAGCACCGTTCTCTAACTGTCGTGAGCCTCTGCCATTCGCGGCAAGGGTAAGGGGGGTCTCAAGATTTCTGTAAATCATGAGACTAGTGAAATTCGGTAGTGTAGTGGGTCCTGGAGCAGGGTGAATAACGGTCGAGGATTTCCTCGACCATAGCTCTCTACCATGTGAGAGTAGTGCCGAGAGTGAACATCCGCGCGGAGAGCACAGACGGCACGCCCATGGCGAGTGTGAATGTCCGCGCGAGAGATCGTGTCTGACCGGGCAGAGAATCCTCGACGTGCCGTTGAGGAATCCTCAAGCGATATTCACCCTGGTCTGGGGTCTGGGAGTTGCGTACATGTACATTATTAGAGCATCTCTGGTTTCTTTATTTCCTTAAAAGGCTTGTTTTTAGAACTATACAGAGCGTATGATTTCCATCTACACTCGCATATCTTGGTTGACAGAAGTCTCGTAACTAGGGGTGATGTACATTACGGTGCAACAGTCGAAGGCTGGGGGAGTAAGCACAGTGAATCGTTATGGTAACGGCTATTCACTTTTCCGCCGAAGAAAGCTCCAGTGTGGGCAAATTTTCTTACTTATGCAATACCCCCCATCTGTACTTGAGCTCAAACGCGGATCAGTTTTCGTGGAATGTGGATTTATTGTTGATAAATGCGAGTTTCAGGGAAACAAACGTATGGAAAAGGTTCTTGATATAGACGATATACTTGGTGCCCGTGGTTTTGTAGCTTCTTCAAGCGATGACGATGAGGAGGTCGCGCAGCTTTCGAAGGCGAAATCCGATCTAAGGTACAGAGTTTTTATTTTTGTTCGAGTTTTCCTCTTATGAACAGCTTCACCTTCCACAGCTATCAGGATTAGGTTGATCGAAATCGATCGTGTGTCTCCCGTAATTCGTGAAATCAGTCGTTGCGGGGGATGGGAAGGACATTCAAATGAGAAAGCCTCTCACAGCACTTATCGTTAGGGGTAACCACGGGCCTTAGCGAGTGGAGGGGATTCTGAGGAGGATGTGAGAAACTCCATCGGCCCTGGTTTCAATGCCTCCCAAGCCCTAGCACCAGAAGCGCAAGATATTTTGGATGCTTGTTTTCCAATACAGCGTGGTTGAGGTTGAAGCAGGTGGATTAGGCGTCCACAGAAATGAAGTCAACTCTACCTTTTATGGCATAGTCGTTCTTCAAATGGGGGAATTTAAAGATGGATAGAGATTACTTCTGAAACACCGAGCTCTTGCAAATACAATTGGCTACCTCGTCGGCGATAGAGGCTGTTTGTGAAAAAGTAAAAGTATTCAGTGCACGCCTTGCCAACCTATTTGCCGAGGATAGCTCGAATGCTCCAATGGCTTTGGATGAAGGCTCAAATCTCAGAGCCTCTAAGAAGCACGAGGCAGCTCCATTGTCGACTTTCTTCTCTACCACGGTTTTTCTTTATCTGCATCATGATGGTCAGTATGTTTCAAAGGGACGATGCGGTGTGGCTGTAATGAAACGCTCTACATCGGTCAGTTTCAGCATTTTGTGCGGTTATTTTCCTACATCACCCTCTGTAAAATGATGCTTGTGTGTCTGCGATCTCTGGTTATAGCGATTTTACTCAACAACAGCAGTATAATCATACTGAATACTGTAGCGGATCGGACAGATGCTGTGTAGCGTGTTATCACGGGTATGGTTCACTAGGTTTACGGACTACTTGAATTTTCGTCTATGGTCCTGCCACGAATGGCGGAGAGCACAGACGATTAGAGAACGGGTGAAGCCCTGGGACTAAGCCTTGGAGAGGGAAGGGATCCGCGAGAGAGCGCAGGCAGAAGCATCAAACTGAGGCGGTTTAAAGGACAGAGTTCAAGTAGTCCGTCGACGGGTTCACTAGTAACACAAAGCGATTTTTTTTTGCGCTTCGCAGCGCGAAACATTTTTCGCTGCGGGAAGCTCGGTGCACTAATGATCAACGGTGGATCTGAGGTTCCCGCAACAAAAAATGTCTTCGCGCTCGACGAACGAAAAGTAGTGCGTGCGGTGTCTAGTTAAACCCACACCCTGTTTTACAAGTTTGGTGTATCACATAGACTTGGCCGCTGTTAGTAAAGTAGACGAGTACATGATTATGGTCGAACTATAGAGACCGACGTCATTGTCGGCGATGGACCAGCGATGGAGCGATCAGCGATCGCATCCATCGCTTGTCCATCGCTGGTCATCGACGACTTATGACGTCGCGCTTGATACAGAGAAATGGTTCACTATATGGCGCTCAGAAGAGCATGCCTTTTCACGATTGTGTTGAATGTGAGCGCAACTATTTCGACTGTTAGCATGGCCTTCTCAGTGAATAGTTGAGTGTTTGCCTTCCATTTCATTACTTGTTTGGCCGATTACGTGTCGATTCGTTGTGCCAAGGGATGGGAAGGAGGAGGTGAAACTCCAGTTCGGGGGGCCACTCCATTGCTATCTTATCCGTAGTACTAGAGAGCAGTTCTTTGGGCTATCGAACACTACGGATAAGATAATAAGTGAACGACTCATTTCGAGCGTACTTTTGATAAGGACCGGTGGATGTCCTACATTCCACACTACCTGCCCACATCCCATCCACTTTTCTGCACAGGTGATCCACCCTGGAGCTCCTGCACCCTTAGCCCTTTGCGGAGGTGTCCTTTCTCCTGGTCCAGGACCGTTCCCTTGGGTCATGGCAGGCGGAAATGTGAAAACGTTTCAGGGTTTCTCACCCATTACACCAATATTTATCAGAAGTCTACTTTAAATGAGTCGATTACGTGTCGTGAGCCCTCTAATCCTTATCTTGAGTGTTGGAGAAAAAATGGAGTGGCCCCCCGAACTGGAGTTTCACCGAAGGGAGTTATCGAGAAACCGGTTGGTATTAGCAGTGCGAAATTGGTAGGCTGGCTACGGTAAGACGGAGAATGTAGGAAGCGAATTTTTGCCGTTGGCGACAAGATCAGCTATTGCGGCCGTTCTGGAAGCGGTTATCGGGTGCTCAATCTACCGCTAAGAGAAAGCAAGAATGAGATCTAAACATTATACGTGCTGAAAATACCGGTCAGCTCCTAATGACGTCTGCTGTTGTTTTGCCTTTCTGATAATTTTGTATTTTTAGAACATCCTGATTTTTTACAACTCGAACAAGGAGGCTATTCTGTGCGTCACGCTGGGCGAAGCAAAGATTTCTAAAATCGAGAAGCGGCAGAAGCATTGCATGGTGTCATGTCCTCTCAAAGCATTCTCATTCATATGTCTTAGTAGCAACGATGAAGCAAAATTAATTGCTTTAGTAAGTTTGACTTCACCACTGTTTATAAATTTTATTTCTGAACAAAACCTTCTGCAGTGAGTATTCTGCTGTACAAAGGTGTTCACTTAGTTGATGATCTTGTGCAACATTGAGTCCACTATTCTTGAAGAAGGTGAAGGAGATGAAGTGAAAATGGACTCGTCAGTACTGTGCGACACGACAACGTTCAATTTTGTGATGTATCGTCATTGAGGTCTGTCTCTTGAGCGAATTTAACAATAAACTTTTGTCTTAAGCTGGTTATTTTTCAGTTGTCGACGGAGCGTGATTCAAAACTTCGCCTGTCTACAAAGTCCGAACCATTCGATTTGCTTCTATTAGGAATGAAGAGAAATGAGAAGCGCATAATTCGAATTGATCAAAAAACAGCGGTGCTCTTCCATGTCAAAAAAGTCAGCGTATCCTCAAGTGTGGGTTTCTGTGATGAGAACGCCAGTGTTTTCGAGGAGTTGTTTGCAGGAGAAGAAAGATGAAGCTACTGAAGTCATCGGCTTTTACCGCAATCAGTCGTATTGGATCAGTCGGCGGCTGATGATGTACTTGATTTGAAGAATGATGTTAATAACAGGTTCCTTCTTTTTCCTCTTCTCTATTGTCGTTAATTTTAGAGAGCCGTGAAGGAAGTTCACAGTGAGCACAATTTGCGTCAGCGAATGGCGATGATTGGGCAGCCCATTTTACCAGATTTGGACTTACTCCACCCAGTAAGCGACTGGACGTGATATGTTTTCATTTCTTAAAGGGATATATTCTTGGGTCCTCGACGTTCTCGACGATTTAGGCGCGGCGCGGCGGAGCGCACGAGTTAGTAGTGACTGCGAACTGTGCTTGATCAAGTGGGTTTCAGAGCTACCCGCACAAGCTCCGCGGCGAAACAAGTCGGTGGCGCTCGCGCGGCCGAGTCAGATCGTGCAGAGTGGGGGGGCGAGGTCTCATGAGTTGAGGGCATGTCATAGCAGGCCAATTGTTTATGCATTCATTTATCATATGGAAACTGGTTTCTAGATTCAAAAAAGCTTGCCATGGTTTGCGAACTTTTCTTGTTGTTTTGTTCTTTGACTGTGTTTTATGGCTAAGACGTTAGAGTTTTATTGCTTAGTTTTTTTCACAATGTCTTCATAAAGACGAGCACGTACGGACGAGCCCAGCTGCGGCGAACATAGCGGGGCAATCCTGTTCATAACGGACACGAAATGAAGGAAACATCGTTAGAAACATCTCAAAATTCGGAAAGGCCGTGTTCATCTCATGTCGCTGACAATGAAGAGAAGGCTTGTTTTTTTTTTTTCATTCCTAGACGCCTTTCTTGTATGTTCGGTTGGGATATCAGTGGTGGTTATATCAGCGTTTTGTTAGTAATGAAAGTTTTTTTTTTCAGGTAGGCACAGTGTGCGAGGTACTCAATGATTACTCAGTTTTACATCGGATTGTTGGAGTGGAAATTGATCGTATGGAGATACGATTAGAGGCGGCATTGGAAAGAATGGTTGATCGGCATTTCCAATCATTCGCGGAAGAGGTTGTGAATGCTGTTCTTTGGGATCCGTTATCCCGTTCACACTCCTTCTTGTCTTAGGATTTAAGGCATTGTCACCTCGGTCGCTTTATCATTATTTAAATATTACTTTTTATTGCAGATACGAAATGTCAAAAGTACTCAGGAAGCAATCCTAAACAAGCTGGATGAGCTCACAAAAACCAGAGACAGCTGAGGCTTGACTAAATGTGGTTAATTTTTTGTGATGATATATGTTTTACAATGTGATAAAATTGGATTAATTAAGCGTTTATCTCAAAACAAAGAGATCGTGCAAAAACACAGGGTGTCACAAGCAAAAGAGTTAGTAAAAAAAGGCAACAATCGAAGCAAAAAAGCAGTCAGAGCGGATCTTTACGCAACAGTTACGGCAGAAGCAGCTTCAATCTGAGCTTTCGCGTCAGTTAATTCTTGGCAGTCCTCAAGAGCGGCTTCATCGATGAGCTTCTGTAGTTCAGATGCGGCTGTTGCACATCGTCGAGCTGTATCGCCAATCATCCCACGGGTTTCCTAAATCATTAATTTATACAGTCTTCACGTAATTTCGTATAAGCCTAAAGAACCTGTAGCACTTGTCCTGCTTTCTTAACAGCGTACTCATCATCCTCGTTCTGAGCTTCTGCCTTCATTTTTTCAATTTTCTGCATTTCCTTTTCAACTTCTTTAATGTAGCTTGCATGCTCCTAAAACTTCTTTCATAGTATACTGGCAATGTGATCGACCTTACATATCAAGGACAACCCAATCGACTGAAAATATAGTAAAAAGCGAGTCACGCAAAAAAATTGAGATATCATTTAGTCATTCCACGAATGCGACTAGAATATACTTCCAAAAAGTAAACAAAATGGGAACTGTGGGCTAACTCACCTTCACAAGACGTTTCACTACACCTGTCTGGATCTTGATTTGTTTGAGGACAGCCGGGTCAACCATGATAAGTTCAGTATTACCTTAAAAAGACCATAGAGCAGTGAATTCTTTACTAAGCGACACCGTTAGTGGTCACCTGGTTAGCATAAGGTAAGAAGTTTACTATCGAAGTCACGACAGATTTTACCGAAGTTAGAAGAAATAGCTGGTGGATCATAGGGATGCGAGTGTTGAGACACACCCTCAGTCAGTAGGAGCAAAGGGAAGTGCACGTATTAGACGTTCCATATCTACCACCAACTCGAAAGCCATTGATTCCAAGGTCACCATTAACACAGTGGCAATAGTGCGGCTCGATGCCCAATCATCGTATAAGAGAAAGTCTTTTGCACAGTTTCCAAAGGTCTTTCGACAACATGTTAATCAAGAATTGTAACATTGTTATGTGTGGCTAGCCTACTTCATGCATATCCTTCAGGGTGTGGGAATCACTTGCTAAGTAGCAAAAGTTGGAGAGAGCAAGGTTATTAAGGGACGCTATTCAGGCGAGAGAACGCAGAGGAGGGCAGCCTATTAGAGACAAAATCGTGATAAAACCGGATGTCCCAAAATTAAAAAAGGTAAGGTAGAGGCGTAGCGAAGGGTACAAGTAGAAGACAGGTGGTACTATCGCGTAAAAGGAGCGCTATCAAAGCACCTTAACGCATGTCAAAACTGATCGACGGTGCCTCCCAGT